AAAGTAGACGCCAAAAAGGTTCTCTACAAATCCAAGTCAACCTACTTGGCTACCCACTGACATACCACACCTGCTAAGATACAAAGTTAAAAAGAGTCCACACTTGAGTTTGCAAAAGCAGTAAAGGTACACAGAATAGTGTACAAATGTATTCTGAAATTTTGCTTCTCACGAGGCTACACAGCTCTCATGATGCATCGGTCGGAACACCTGTCAAAGTTAGTGCCCACGTCATCTCGCGTTCAGTAATTGTTAGTAATTTACCCTTGGAGTTTATAATAACACACAGCTGAATGAATGCAAAGCTCTACACAAGTGCATTCGGTTCTACACAATAGTAAACGTAACTTCTGTTGGACGTTATCGATGTGTCCACTAATTCATGTGAAAAAATATACGGTACACTAACATTAACATAATATTACATATATAAGCCGATTCTATATTCAATTATGAGTGAATTAATATTAATTTATCCGTGGTCATTTAACATTGTATATGGTATACATACAGTATATAGTAGTACTTATTTAGGGTAATACAATGTAACTTGTGTAATCGACCTTAGCTTACCCTTCCTAACCTAATTTTAACACCTAATAATTTAACTTTAATATACTGTGTGCGTGTGTGTACGCGCGCGCGCAATGTTATACTGCACTTGTAACAGTCACAAGGATGGGTTGAATTACTGCTAACATACCATTAAACTGCATGGGGTAAACTGCGAATTGAATTTAATAAAAAATATATATTCCCTGGCGCGAAAAAAAAAAAGATGTGCACCGGCTAATCACTGAATAAAACAATGGAGTTTCTGTCGCATACCTGTGCATTGTAGCTGCGTTAACTCTTGCATCTTGCAAACTGACCCTAATGGATATCACATAAGAATGGACGAAACTGCAGCGGGCCTATTGGTCCATACTGGGCAGTCCCCTTTACACCCAACCCCTATCGTTCATAAGAACATAAGAACATAAGAATGGAGGAAACTGCAGCGGGCCTATTGACCCATACTGGGCAGTCCCGTTTATACCCAACCCCTATTGCTCATATAAGCATCCAACCTTTGTTTGAAGCTATCCAGCGTATTTGAGTTAATGATGATATTTGGTAACTTGTTCCATTCATCCACTACTCTGTTTCCAAACCAGTGTTTACCTATTTCACACCGAAATCTAAATCTGTCTAATTTAAAACCATTGTTACGAGTTCGCTCCTGGTTGGACAGTTTGAGTACCTTTGTAATGTCCCCTTTGTTTAACCCTGACTTCCACTTATACACCTCTATCAGTTCGCCCCTCGCTCTAAGTCTCTCGAAGGAGTGCAAATTAAGATGCTTTAACCTGTCTCTATACTCAAGGTTCCTAATGCCCGGGATTAGTCTTGTCATTCTCCTCTGAATTCTTTCCAATGATTCTATATCCATTCTGTAATACGGTGACCAGAACTGAACTGTGTAATCCAGGTGTGGTCTCACAAGCGCAAGATACAGTTTTAGGATGACCTCGCTAGTCTTGTAACTAACACCCCTTTGTATGAACCCAAGTACTTTATTAGCCTTGTTATGAGCAAAAACACATTGTTTACTTGGCTTAAGGTTCCTACTTATCATTACTCCTAAATCTCTCTCGCAGTCGGATTTCTCTATGGCATCGTTGTTCATCTGGTATCTGGTTTCCCTGTTTACATCTCCTATACTGAGTACTTTACATTTGTCCACGTTGAATTTCATCTGCCATTTTTCAGACCATTCGAAAAATTTGTTTAGATCTTCCTGTAGTTTTGCGGAGTCCTCGTCAGATTTAATAACGCGTCCTATTTTAGTGTCATCAGCAAATTTACTTATGTTGCTGTCTATGCCGATATCTATGTCGTTTATGTATATAACAAATAATAATGGTCCAAGCACTGAGCCTTGGGGAACTCCACTTGTGACGTTGCTCCAATGGGACTTAGTGCCGTTAATGCTCACTCGCTGTTTCTTGTCCTGTAACCACGCCCTAATCCATTTAAGGATGTCACCTTTGATGCCATGTGCTTCTGCCTTTCTAATTAGTCTTTCGTGGGGGACTCTGTCGAAGGCTTTGCTAAAGTCGAGATATACCACATCATAATTGTGCCCCTCGTCCACCGATTCGAAAACTAATGAAAAGAATGTTAATAGATTAGTTAGACAAGAACGTCCGCTTGTGAAGCCATGCTGGGAATCATTGATCAATCGGAGCTTCTCCAGGTGATTTCGAATAGAGTTTGAAATGATTGCTTCCAGTAATTTGCCTACTATTGATGTTAGACTGATTGGGCGGTAGTTAGAGGTTAGTGATCTATCCCCCTTCTTGAAAATCGGTATTACATTCGCTATCCTCCAGGATTCTGGTAATACACCTGTTTTAAGTACATGTTAAACAACTTTGCTAAGGGCATACTAAGCTCTTCCTTACATTCCTTTAATACTCTGGCAAATATCTCATCGGGACCAGGTGACTTATTAGGCTTTAGTTTGTCTATTTGCTTACTAATATCGTTACTAGTCACTACTATCTCGCTTAATTTGTTTTCTTCACTATCTCTGAATAGAGTCGGTGCCTCGGGTATCATGTTTAAATTTTCGGTGGTGAAAACTGTTGAAAAATATTTATTCAAATTATTGCTCATTTCTCCGTCGTTATCAGTGAGCTCGCCGGTATCTGACAGTATTGGTCCAATCTTTTCTCGTGTTTTAGTTTGATACATTTGGTAGAATCCTTTGGGGTTTGTCTTCGCCTCCCTTGCTATCCTTACCTCATTATTGCTCTTGGCTTTCCTTATCTCGGTTTTAACCCTACTCACCAATATCTTATAATAATCCTGGAGGTAAATTTCGCCACGCTTTATCCTTCTACCTATAGCCTTCCTTTGGCCAATGATGTTCTTTAAATAATTATTTATCCATTTAGGGTCATTGTTGTCTGATCTGAGTTTTTTGTATGGTATGTTCTGCCTTTGTGCATTAAGTAACTCATTATTTAAATTGTCGTGGAACTCGGCAATCTCAGATGTCGTTATCAGGTCGGAGTCATCTGTCAGGATCACGACCAAGCGCCACACCCCCTCTCCCAAGTGCCTCTTTAAACTGTCAAAGTTTGCCTTTCTGAAATCTGGTACTTAATGGAATTTTCCTTACGTCTGCCCTGAAAATCTAACTGGAACCTAATTTCTTTGTGATTGCTGTTTGCAAGTTCGTTCCCTACCTCGACATTGCTAATGAGGTTTTCCCTGTTCGACAGAACTAAATCGAGTATATTATTACCCCGTGTGGGTTCGGTTATATGTTGACCTAGGAAACAGCCCTGGATCGTCTCGAGAAAATCCTCTGATTCTGAGTTACCCGTAAGGTCAGTCCAATCTATTTGGCCAAGGTTAAAGTCGCCTACTATACAGACTTTGTTGTGTATGGAAGCCCTGCGCATTTCATCCCAGATAAGTCGCTCATTGACTCTATCAAGATTGAGAGGTCTATATATTACTCCTGTGATTAATTTTTCCCTACCGTCGCTTAATTCTATCCAAATTGTTTCTGTATTCCGCTCAGTTTTTATTTCCTTATTTATTTCACACTTCAGATTATCCCAAACATAGATTGCTACTCCGCCTCCTTTCCTGGTCTGCCTATCGGTATGGAACAATTTGTAATCCGCAATTTGGTATTCGGCCGGCAACTCACGTGAGTCTAGGTTGATCCATGTTTCAGTGAATGCTATTATATCGCTTTTTTCGGTACATACCAAGGCCCTAATATCATCCATTTTGTTTCTCATACTTCTACTGTTCGCGTAGTAGACATTTAAGTTAGTCGTGTTCTGAGTCCTCCCTTTACCGCGTTTAGTTTTAAACTCCCTGTTTAATTTAGTTTTGTCATCATTCCTAACACTATCTCCCTGTAATCTTTCACTTTGTTTACCCGCTCCCACTGCAGTCTCCCTCACCCCCGCGCCCATATGTTCCCCTAGCAGTTTAAAGACTTCGATACTGTAAGGTATATTGTTAACAAGCACTGTCTGTATACATGCACTGGTTATGAATGCACACTGAATCAATATGAATTTTCATGAGGATTTAACTGAAAAAAAATGTTTATCTAGCTATACAGTAATATTTCTGGGGTTGTGACATCAGCTAGCAAGGCCATCATGAACTGTACACTGCATTTGAGATGATACTCGTGCAGGTACAGTAGATCAGATTCCAATGTTTTTTTTATTTTGTTTCGTTTGTAATCCATTTGGCGAAAAGTACCTTCATGTTTATAATCACATCAAATCAATTATCGGTCCTGTTACAGAATGAAGAATTTCAGTTTCTAGCCAACATCACTCAGCTGTCTCTCTGCCATCAAAGTGGCAGGCAGTAACTGTATATAATATACAAGTCACAAATAACAGCGCAAGCTTGTACACCAAACCAATACCGTTGCAAAGTATGAACTTAAAAATCACACTACGCACGCACCAATATTGCAGTCCCTAAATTAAATACCTGCACATATCACTACATAGCACCATATAATACAGCAATAATGCCATACATCACAACATAGCACCAGACAATACTGCTTATGTTTCATGTGTACGAGATCATTTGACCCGCATCATTGCCACCACCTAGTAACGGCCAGCACTGCAGGAGGCGACAGAGCGTCATTTCTGTGTTTCCTAACGGCGGGGTAACGCTATACAACTCCACATAGCGGTGACAGAAATGAACCTCTCAATCATATGTCGCGGCCAACCATGAGCCCTCGCCATGAACCTCTTTGTCTGTGGATCTATGCTGATAAAACAAGCAAGGATAAATTCCTCAAAATCCGTTACTGATGGACGGTGACTAATTACGGAAAGCAAAAACACACCAAAATAAAATCACAAATAAAGATACTGCGCAACCACATACGTAACCGTTGATACTGATAAAGATGACAATTATGATGAACATATCAGAAGAGGAAGAACACTCACATATTTACAGTAGGTAAGAGTCAGAAAAATAGCCTTAGCGGCGGCTGGATGTGGAGCGTTCACACACTCTCCAGAGACAGTCTCCGGGCAACTGACGTGCCTGCCACGGCTGCCAGTTACGTTAGTCGCGGTAACCCACCCACCAACCAGCAGTCCCCAACCAGGCAACCAACCCAGCCAGCTGCTATCACCACCCCCTACCACAGCCAACAGCTTCCTTTGGCACTCCCCTACACCCTCACTCACCCCTACCACAGCCACCCCTCACCTGGCACTCCCCAACCTCACCCCTCACTCACCCCTACCACAGCCACCCAACCTCACCTGGCACTCCCCTACACCCTCACTCACCCCTACCACAGCCACCCCCTCACCTGGCACTCCCCTACACCCTCACTCACCCCTACCACACCCCCTCACCTGGCACCCCTACCACAGCCACCCAACCTCACCTGGCACTCCTCTACACCCTCACTCACCCCTACCACAGCCACCCAACCTCACCTAGCACTCCCCTACACCCTCACTCACCCCTACCACAGCCACCCAACCTCACCTGGCACTCCTCTACACCCTCACTCACCCCTACCACAGCCAACACCATATTTTTGCCCTACCTCCTGGCTGACGAGTGATAACGTTATAGTGACTGGCTGAAAACCACCTCAACAATACCCAGAGCCGAGGTAACATATTAAACTACCCTTCATATCACGCGTATGCACAGTACTTTTACCTCAGACCCTCCAGAATCCAGACCGTAAACGCCAGACCCTAACCTAACCACACGTCTTAGACCACCAATTTGTTTAGTTTATCACATTAGTTAGAGGAATACATATAAATTCATTTTTCATTCATATATATTAACAAACTCTAGCGGATTAACTTTAACGTGTAAATTTATTTTGGTCTCAAAATTAACTGTTTTTAATATAATTTATTTGTTACTTGCTAGTTTTGTATTTCGATTTAATTAAAGTAAATTTTAACTTAAAATTGAGGCGTGTTGGGGGAACTATATCTCTCCAACACACCTGAATATACAGTATGTACAGGTATAAGCTGCCATGACTGATATAATTATGTATGCCCATAGGTCGTCATCTGCACGTACTGTACAGTCACTCAAAAAACTATCTGCACTTGGGGTGATCGATGAATTTCAGAATAAACACTGTGACTCCTGTTGTCTCGGTAGGGTTACGAAAATCCTTCATCCGTTGTGTCATATTTTTCCAACACAATTTTGTATAGATAGTTATTTTTGAGTGACTGTACACACACACACACACACACACACACACACGTTCTAAAACCAGTAAATATCGCATCAGCTCTGAACCCTTGATACATCAATATATGATTGATTACGTTGTATCCTTTTGTCTTACCAGAACAGAAATTTTGTGCATTAAACCTTCAATGAAACCTAAATTATTTAAAATATACGATTACCTAGCTGTCACTCTCTGCACTCGTCCTTATCTCACTCACTGATAACAGTCATACAGGTGACGCGGCCGTGAACACCTCCCACACACGGGTTAACAGCTCACCATACTGCACACCATCTCCCACACACGGGGACAACACCTCACCATACTACACACCATTTCCCACACACGGGGTCAACACCTCACTGTACACTGTCTCCCACACACGGGGTCAATGCCTCACTACACTGTCTCCCACACACGGGGTCAACACCTCACCATACTACACACCATCTCCCACACACGGGGACAACACCTCACCATACTGCACACCATCTCCCACACACGGGGTCAACACCTCACTGTACACTGTCTCCCACACACGGGGTCAATGCCTCACTACACTGTCTCCCACACACGGGATCAATGCCTCACCATACTGCACACCATTTCCCACACACGGGGTTAACACCTCACTATACTGCACACCATTTCCCACACACGGGGTCAATGCCTCACCCTATTGTTTTGTGACAGGAACGTTCAGAGTCGGCGTGGCGAAGGTCTCGTCTTAACAGAGTGTGAATGAGTCACATAGTTCCAGGGTGTGACTAGTAACTGTGTGCGTGGCATTAATGTGTGTGTGTGTAATGTGGCAACGTTACTTAGCAGCAGGCAGGGGTAATACGTGACGTCTATAGCGGGAGCCCAGAGGGTTTTATTCATTTGAAAGACGCCAAAATGTTTGGCCTCATGGGCTGAAGGCATTCTCACCAGACATTCCAAAAATGGAATGCTGCCGGGTCTGGAGTGTGGCTTTGCCCCTGAAATCTCCCCTGAAAGTGGATAAAAAGTGGCATTTATTTAATGGAAGAGCGCCAAGGATAAAATCAGTGTTAAACCTTTCCTTGTGTTCCACAGAGTGTGAAATGACCAATGGCAGCAATTTTAGGTGTGGCTTTCCCCCCGCTAGCAACACCCTTGGCCTCATTAGTTATTTGTATTCTTCTAACTTGTTAGCCTTGATGACAAGAGCCTTACTTCAAAGCCAATATTGAAAAAATACTTTAATATCAAATTTAAAAAAAATATACAACCGTGTTAATATGAATACATGAAATAATACTTGAAGCGCTCCAACAGTAATGGCATAACTTACAGTACTGTACAAGCTCACTGAGACGTTCAACTGTGATCTTTCCCAAAGATTATTAAATGAATCACTTTTATTCATAATAACGAAAGAAATTGACTGACCAATAATATAATTATCATGGTACTGTACATTTCATCTTCATCACTATCACTGTCCTCACTAAAGGCATTGTTTGATTCCTCTTCATCCACTGATCTCGTCCATATTATCCTTCGGAGTGTCTGTGATGGATTCGGGGACTGAACTACCTGGCTACCAGTCTTGCTCCAATAAGTTTTGATTTTCCTTCCATCCATAGTCTGTGGGATTCGCTTTACCAGTAGGATCAGTTTGGTCAGCCCTTTTCCAAAGTCTTGCCACAAATTGAGCTCTTTTGATTTGATTACCAAGTGTCTTAGTGCACGGAGGTAAAGAGGCACAGTTGATCTTCTTGACTTTGGCCAGAGGTTCCTTCTCATTGCCACCACTCACGCATTGGAAGGTCTTGTATCTTGCCTCATTTATACCGGAAGTTTTGAACCTATACAGCGAGCAGACAAAGCTAGTAACACCTGGAAAATCAACTTTCTCAGAGATCGCAATGCCGTCACATGACTCTGACCTCCCTCTGCTTCAAGCCGGCCAAAGGGCATCACTTTGCCCTTCCTGAAAAAGCACGGTGTAAAATCACAATCTGTTATGGCATGAAGCCCCAACAGTGTTTCAGTAAGTCCAGAATGCTTTTCCTCGAGAATGTTAGTTATTTCCGAGACATTAATGTATCTCCGGTGGTTGCCCGACCCATAGTCCATGATGATAACTTCCGACTAGCCCAAGAAGAATGATGAGGACGTCTGTGTCAGTGGATCTTACCAGTATATTTCCAGTAACAATGTTCTTTACATGAAATGCAAGATTGTCTGCCTCCTCGTGCCGACCTTGGAGATGACTGGGTTCCAGGGTTTGTAGCATTTCATCCTCACTGCTTTTCATTTTCATGCACTTTCCACCATGTGAGATGTACACGGTTTTTCTTTCAATGACTGGCCCATATCGAGGCTTCTTCCACTCCTCCATAAGGAAGTGGGTAAACTCTTCCTTAAATGCACAATTTTTGAAGAGATCCATTCCACTTTATCTCTGGGCCTGGTCAGACCTAGTAATGACAAGTACTTGACGAATGCCAGAACCATACATACTTCGCTTATAATCCTTAATGGATGGAGACTGTTACTTGTCAAATACCACGTGGTTCTCCACAAGTGGAACATATCTTTATTAGAAGATCCCTGGTCAATTTCTATGGTTGCATGGATGGACTTGTTGTGTTTCAAGATAGTTTCATGGAGGATGTTGCCACCGTCAATTATAGTGGCCTTGATTGGGGGAAGATCACTATCCATGAACACAACTTGGTGTTTACTTTCAAGTGTTTTTGTTATGATGGCTTTGTCTGTCTTCAGGGGAGTTCCATTACTATGAGCAAGAGAGAGTGGCACTGTAGTTATGGGATAACTCAGTATGTGCTGAAAGTTAAGTATGTCCCTTGTCTTTGTTGCAACAACCAAGATTCTTCCAAAGACGTCCTTTACTCCTTCGGCTGCATTTACTCTCCGCAATGTAGATTTTGCCTCATTTACATTCTCTGCAGCAAAATTCAGCATCTTGATTCTTGGCACTGTACTCAGAAATCGTTAACTATCAACTGCATACTCACCTTCAAATTTCAGTCGAAACTTTTCTGCCACGTACCAATGTGTCGAGAAGAAATTTATCTGTGTCATCCTTTACTTTCTTCCCTCATGACACATTAGCAAGGGAAGCTGAAGAATCTTGTGAAAATGGGTTGGAAATGCAGCTGAAGGTCTTAGCAAGGGCATCCATGTCAGCAGTGTCACGCTGACTTCTCCATTTATTCAGCTGATTTGACGGTTCCTCTCCCACTTGGAGACCAACTATTTGACGGAGCTCTGACAGGGCCATGTCACGCTAACTTACAGTGATCGATAACCTTCTGAAGCACTTTCAGTGGTTGGGGTCAGCTTGAACTAGGCCCGTTTGAAAGATGTGAGAAAAGGAGGAATAATCTTTTCACCATCATCAAAGCACCGCCTCATCCGTCCAGTCAGCGCCCCTATTGAACTTGCAGGTTAATGTCGCTGGGTGGTTCTCTGGTGTAACTTTATTCTGATAGCAAATTCCCACAGTAACATGAGCCAGCGTATATACCTATTATCACAGCCACTGTCACCTGTCTATGATTTTTTTAGATTTTTCATACCGAACAATAACATGTGTCCATTAACAAATATTGTAACAATTTATTAATTTGAGTTAGCTGTTTTGCCAATCTACATGAATTCACAACACTTATCCAACAACAACAACAACAACAAATGCAGTAAATTACATTCCTTACCGTTGAATTATGAAAATTGTTGGAGACAATACCAACTCATACTGCTGCCTCAAAAAAGTGAAAACAAACGTTTTCACTGAAAATGTACTGGGGCGTCAGTCAT